GACATCGTCAAATAAATCCGTTGGTGGATCAAATGGGTTCCGTGTGTTCAAATGTGTTGACGGATAGTTGTCAAATGGTGTGCCTATGACGCGAGTTGAGGTGAAAGGATTTACAGACGAGTTCGAAGGTTTCGAATAACTTTTTAGCTCTGGATCTGTCTTATACTTGGACTCGAAATCAAGATTTTCTGACTTAGATTTGGATTCGAAACCAAGGTTTTCCGACTTAGTCGACTTAGATTCTTTTGCATGGATATGGGGTTCTGATATGTTGGCTGCATGATGCGTAGATTGCATGACAGGATCGTGTTGCGGGGCTTCTTTGATGGAGTCAAGTTGCATACTCAAATATTTGTTTAAATCTTTCTCTATGTCATCTTCTTTAGGCAAATCAAATGCGCCGTCGACTAATCCTAGCTCTGCTTCTTGTACCTTGGCAATCGCGTTCATTTCGGCCTTCGCAAGCGCTAGATTCTTAGCAATTCGAAACTTCGTCATCTCAGCCTCTCGTTTTCTTAGCGCGTCGGCTCTTTGTGCTTCTAAGTCTTGAAATTTTAACTCTGCGCCGAGTCTCGCGATCATGCCAGCCATCTCGGCCTTTCTTGCAAACGCGGAATTGCTGGATTTACTAGAACGAGTTGATCTCGAGCTGCGAGATGAGCCCGAGATCGAAGATCTTTCGTCTTCATTTAGCCTTTTTAAATCGCTTAACCTTTTGTTTACTTCTTTTAGGAGATCAGAGTGCTGTTGGTCGATCGTCTCAAATTTCTCGCTCGCTACGCGTCTTTCTGTTACGTCTAAAGCCTCTTCTAGCCTTTCATTCGCGCCGGCGAGAATCTCCATTTTTGCTTCCAACAGACCCCTTTCACTAAGAAGCCGGTTGACATCCTCTGAGTCTGCTAGCAATCCATTCACTATATTAAACTGTTTGCGCCAATTTCTTTGGGCCGTAATTCGATCACGATCTAGCAAGTCCAATYTAAAGGCTGTGCCCTTCTCTGTCATTTTCTTTTCTCTTTGCGTGTTTTCATCGATTTCCTCGGTGTTTAAATCAAAATTTGACATACCTTCAGATGCACTGTAGCCATAGAGTCTTTACTGTTACGGCTGGGGCAATCTTTCGAGTTTCCCCGGGTCGGCCGTGTTAGAACAGCAAATCACTTACTGAGATTCCATCATTCAATCACTGCATTTATTAGAATCACGTAAAGAYTGGGTAAAATACAATAAGGTATATCTGTATTAGTTAAAACCGCTTACAAATAGAAAAATGTGCTTGATTAGGGAATGATTATGCAACACGTGGTCTAGCGATACTTAGAAATGAATGCTCAGTCGACTATAGGCAGTTTATGCTGAAGAATAATATTGATAATTTCWTGTAGGAGAACTAAATATAATGAGTTACATACCTCTGTGCTACTTGGCCGGATAGCAAATTAGTTAATATTCTAAGGAGCTTCTTTCTTAGTTTAACTTTCCTTCGACACGCTACATCAACTTATCACCCAAATCAAACTATCCGATTACGGTTATGTGATACGAGCATAATCACTGGTAAATCATTAACACTGCAGTTGTATATAAACTCATAGTTTGTTTTTTAATTTTTGATGAAAAGTATAAATACACAGGCGATTATTGAAAATCTCGCTTGCTGATTGGTCGAGAAACTCAGATTATCACACAATAATCACCTCCAGCGATAATCCAAAATGGCGGCCAGCCACTTTGCTGCTGTTCCTAATCTTAAAACTGTCTTTTATCTTCTTTTTTTAAAAGAATCACCTGTTTATTATGCTATAACAAATATTCACCTCAGGCTCAGTGAATATCAGGAATGATAACCTCAACTTCACTTCAGTTATTATTCCCCGATATTCACTCCGCCTTCGGCGAATAATTGTTAAATAAAAAAACATGCAATATATCATCAATCTACAGGACTTCATCTAAGACTCATAGTTAGAACAAGTCAGGTGTGCTAGGGCCTCTTTCTCTTAGTACTTGTCATTTCTTTAGTAGGTTGGACATATCTCCCAAGGGTGATCTCTCAGTGAAGCAGATTTCAAGAAATATTCACCGTAAGTAATCAATACGACTAGTATCAATATTCATCCTCTTGTGGATAGCCTTGCAAGTGTAATAGACTCCTTTGAAGAAAATGTTGGATGTGAAATACGAAAGAAACGGCACAAATTCCTTTTTTTTAATTGTAATTTATGTATCCAATATAATTTAGAAAAGAGTCTATTCCAGTGTTTAGGAAACAATATACACCACATACTGCTATACAGTGCTTCATACATTTATTGTCAAAATGAAAATAATAAATTCATTTTCAGAACTCAAGAAAAAGATCAGAGAATTTGAAGAAGGTTTTGAAGCAGAATATGGACGAAGGGTACAGTAAAATATGTAATATATACTATTAACTTTGTTTTCTTTATCTGACAAAATATTGATAATATTATGGTTTATTGTTATAGCCTAGTCAGACTGAAAAAGCTCCCATTAAAAAACATCTTGGTGATCTTACTYGCTACAGAAAACAACTTAAAGGTGAGCAGTCCTCCAGCACCATGCTTATCAACCTATTTTATCCCATCCCACGTTCTCTACATTATTTCTTTCGTCTTTCCATATTTCTATCAATGTATGTTCTTGTTCTATTTCATTATTGAACCATTCATTCCATTCCTTTCATACATTCAGCTATTCCAGCCATTCCATCCTTTCCCATCTAAACTCATATATAATTCCCATTCTGTCCCATACATTCATTTAACTGTCCCATCCAATCCATCGTTAATTCACTAAATCAATCTATCAATCCCATCAATATATCCATACATCTGTGCATCCATCCACCCATCCATTCCATCCAATCCCATCTATCCACCCATCCACTCCATCCCAAACATCCCATCCACCCATCCCATCCATCTACCCATCCATTCACCCATCCATCCCATCCCATCTAACCATTCACCCACCCATCCCATCCATCCATCCATTCACCCATCCCATCCAATCCACCCAACCCACTATCATTTCATTCATACCATACTTTGCCTAATGATTTTCTCTCTCTGTATTTTAGAACTGAAAGAAAAAGCCAAAGGTAAAAAAAGATTTAACAATACTTTAAATGGTGAAAACAAGTAATGTAAAATGCAGATGTTTCAAGAAATATACTTTATTATATATTATCATACATACCAGAGGCTGCCTTATCATATCTATTATATGCTAAAGTAATGCATAGCTCAATCATTCACTCACTGAATCCACCATTGTTATTGTGTGGGCATCCTCCAAGTTCCTTCACAGGGTTACAAATGGTCAATACAAAACTTAAACTTTGGAAATCCAAGGAAGTTTTTCTTTTCCTATTGAAGTTTTGTGAATGATCAGCTGCCCTGTTTTTAGTTTTTCCTCCATCTGCAAAAGTCTCCTCATTTTGAAGCCATCGTGTGCTCRATCTATTGATCTATTGATGTGATTGCAAACATGAGCATTCGATTTAAAGATAAACTAAATAGTTAATTAACTTTAGTCTTGCCCTAGTATAATGATATTGCATGAATGAGTTTTTTATTTTATTTTTAATCTTATTTAAATGTTAATAATTCCTTAGAAGAATCAGAAAGGCTTAATGATACCGCACCACCCTTCAAGCAGGAACCCATCACTAGCACCGGTACTACCTTGATTTGATTCTCTCTTCTACTCAATACTCCCTCTCTTCCTCACTCTCCTCCTTTCTCCTCTTCTCTATGTCATTTTTATTTTTATTTTTTACATATTAAACTTTTGATCTCAATTCTTCCCTAGAATGTGCTATGTATAAAATAATTTGTGCTTTATGTAAATAAACAGCCTACCTGAATATATGGCTGTGATGAAATTAATCATAGTGGTGGTAATAAAGGTGATAATGATTATTTTATATGGTGATGATAATGATGATCATAATGATGATCATGATGGTGGTGATGGTGATGATAATTATTCATAATTGTAATGATGGTGACTGTGATGATCCATTGAACCCTTTATCTATTTATCAATTATGTTATTTCATTTAAACTTAAAGAATAATTCAAACATTGATTGCAATACTTTTTTGTTCTTTTTTTTAGTAGAACCACTCCTGACCACAACACCAGCATCTGTACAGCAGTCTTTAGATAATATTCTAAGAAAACTACAAGACAAGAGAAAATCTGCTGGCAGGAATGAGGATTTACAGGTATCTAAACTCCTGGGGGGGGGGGGGGTCTAAGTGTTAGGGGTGATCGGTACCCCTCTTAAGGTTGAGAATATTTGCTGTGTAACCCTTTTAGGGGTTCCGGCTCAAAAGTCAGTTATGTAACATGGCTTCTTACCTCTTAGGGTCATTTATTATTTATTTTCTTTATTGAACAAACAAGATTGAAATAAAAAAATTCTAATATAAAGTCGTTCCTTTTAGGGGTACCCCCTGGGTCTAAACTAAACATGCCCAACTCACCTCCCCAAGGGATGTTTAAGATACCATTCTTGATCCAATGCATTCCCATTCTTTCGTAATTTTCCATATTTAACATTCATTTACTGAATATTTTTTATAGTCATTAACAATGGAGCAGCTTCAAGATGAAAAGCTTTCTGTGCAAAAAGCCTTGTTACAGCATGAGAGTGTCTTCGGCAGACCTGTGAGTAGAAAACATTATCCTTGTGTTGTGAGCGTAGCACTTTARTAGCTGTTGGCTAACAACACCATGACTTGCATTCTGTGGTGAAATCGAAATTTAGAAAATAATTTTGCTGAGGAAGGACCCTTGAAGCACACGAGAGAACCAACAACAACTCTACTCACATATGATAGCAAGTCCAGGGATATAACTATTACCACAGCGGAGGGAAGGCTGCACATAACAGCGCACTCCTTCTGTACTTCCCAACAATTATCATTTCACTAAACATTAAAGTTATTTTTTATATTCTATTGTTTTTCAAGACCTCTAAAAAGGATAAGGATATCATGAGGCCACTGTATGATAGATATCGTATGATTAAAAGAAAACTTAACATCTCAAGGACTGTAAGTAGTAATTAGGATCAGTTCAATTAGAAATTGGGATGAAAGATGAACAAGAAAATGGGAGAAAAGGTGAAAATAAAAAGAAAATATGGGAAACAATAGGATTTTGACTTTGAATTCTGTCACAGTCTCATCTCATCAGTAATGGCGGTAGTTCCTTCAGTTAAAACTGCTATCTGATGTCAATGGAAGCCAGCAGATTGCAGTTACAGCAGCAAAAGTTTTTGTGATGATGAAGATGATTGAAAAGATAAGGCCCAAACCAACCTACAAGAACCCATTTAAGTATCATAAAGAAAATATGGGACAGCTAAATCGTACCCATTTGTTCACTTGTTCGTTCATTCGTTCATTTGCTAATTTGGTCATCCCCTTCATCTATTCATTTATTTTTGTTTTATTGGTTCTTTTTGGGACAGCTAAATCGTACCCATTTGTTCACTTGTTTGTTCATTCGTTCATTTGCTCATTTGATCATCCCATCTATCCATCCATTCATTTTTGTTTTGTTGGTTCTTTTTTCAGCAAAATACAAAAGAAGATCAGTCAAAGTAAGCTCTTATTGATAACTTGTTTGTAATCATGATGATAGTGAATCAGTCAGGTTGTGGTGTATGGTAGACATTGCTGTGATAATCTGTTGTGTTTGTGTGTGTGTTGTTAGATCTGGTGATGAAAGAAGTGATCAAGATACAGTAACAGAACAAGAAGGTAAGAAGTAAAAAAACCCAAAACAAATCTTTAATTTAGATTGCCGAGGGAGGAAAACTGGAGAACACAGAGAAGAACCCACCAATCAAGGGAGAGACCTGACAAACTCTACTCACATGCGCCTCCCCC